CTAAAGGTTTGTCAGTTTTGTTGATCTTTTCAAACAACCAATTTTATTTCCTTGATTTTCTCAATTTCACTTATTTCTGTTGTAATCTTTGTTTTCTTTGTTTGGTTGCTTTGGGTTTAGTTTTCTAGTTTTTAAGGTAGAAGGCTAGATTATTGATCTCAGATCTTTTTCATTATGGGAGTTTATAGCTATAAATTTCCCATAAAGCACTGTGTTCACTGTGCCTCTTAAGTTTTGTACGTTCCATTTTTATTTTTACTTATCCCAAAGTATTTTCTAGTTTCTTTCGCAATTTCTTATTTAGGAGTTAGTTATTTAGGAGTATGTTGTGTAATTTCCACACATTTATGAATTTCCCAAATTTACTGAAGTTATTGATTTCTGATTTCATTCTGTTGTGAGCAGAAAACACTTTGTATTATTTTAGTCCTTTTAAATTTATTGAGATTGTTTTATGGACTAGCATATGGTCTGTGCTGGAGAGTGTTCCACTGCACGTGAGAAGAATCTGCACTCTTGTTGGGTAGTGTGTTCTATGGATGTCTCTTATGTCTAGCTGGTTTATAGGGTTGTTCATTTCTTATATTCCCTTGTTGATATTCTTCTGCTTAGTTATTCTATTCATTATTGAAAGTGAAGTGTTGAAGTCTTAAGGTTTTATTGTTTAATTGTCCATTTCTTCCTTCACAGTTTTTGACTCATCATTTTGGGGCTCTGTTGTTAAGTGCATATATTAAGTTTATAGTTGTTATAACTTCATAATGGATTGACCCTCATTATAAAGATATCCTTGTCTCTAGTAACCATTAAAAAACAATTTTTTTTCTTTATTGATTTTAGAGAGAGAGAAAGGGCGAGAGAGAGGGAGAGAGAGGTAGAAACATCGATGAGAGAGAACATCGATTGGCTGCCTCCTGCATGCCTCCCTCTGGTGAGGTCCACAACCTGGGCATGTGTCCTGACCAGGAATCGAACCAGCGACCTCTTGGTGCATGGATCAATGCTCAACCACTGAGCCACACCGGCCAGGCTAACCATTTTTGTCTTAAAGTTCATTTTATGTGGTATTAGTATACAGATTTCAGCTCTCTTTTAGGTATTGTTTTCATGGTATTTTTTTTTTTCATACTTTTATTTTCAACCTATTTGTGTGTTTGAATCTAAAGTATGTCTCTTGCAGATGGCATAAGTTAGGTCATATTTATTTATTCTGCCAATCTGTCTTTTGATTGGAATACTTAGTCCATTTGCATTTAATATAATTACTAATAAAGGAGCATTTATGTCTGCCATTTGCTATTTGTTTTCTTTATGTCTTATGTCTTTTTTGTTCCTCTTTCCCTGTATTACTGCCTTTTTTTTTATGTTGTGTTTTTCTAGCATACCATTTTAATTCCCTTGTTTTTTATTTTTATTTTTTTTACCATATTTTTAAAAAGTTAATTTCTTAATGGTTGCCCTGGGGATTACAATTAACATCTTTAAAAAATTTACTTTGGCCCGGCCGGTGTGGCTCAGTGGTAGAGCATGGACCCATGCATCAAGAGGTTGCCGGTTTGATTCCTAGTCAGGGCATATGCCCAGGTTCTAGGCCTGATCCCCAGTGGGGTGGGGGTGAGGGGCACGCAGGAGGCAGCCAGTCGCCGTTCTCGCTCATTGATGTTTCTACCTCTCTCCCCCTCTCCCTTCCTCTTTCTCTAAACAATAAAGAAAAAAAAATTACTTTGGATTAATACCAGTTTAATTTCAATACTATACCAAAATGACTCTATTATAACTTTGTTCCCTCTTTCTTCTTTCTACTATTATTTCATACACATTTTGTTTTTATATGTTGTGTGCCTGTCAACACAGTTTTATGCTTCAGGCAGCTGTCTATGTAATCAGACAAAAGAAAAGAGTTGCAAGCAAAAATACATTTATGCTGTCTTATATTTACCTACAAAGTGACATTTACTGATGTATTTTATTTCCTCATGTGGATTGAGTTGCTGTCTGGTGTCCTTTCATTTCAGTCTAAAGGATTTCCTTTAGTATTTCTTGTAGGTCAAGTCTACTAGTGATGAATTATTTCTTGTTTATCTGGGAATATCTTTATTTATCTTTTATTTTTGAAGGATAGTTTTGCTGGATATACAGTTATTGTTTGACAGTCTCTTCTTTCAGCAATTTGAATATGCTACCCCATGATTTCTGATGAGAAGTACAGAATCCCTTGTGCACAATGGGTCTTCTTTTCTGTTGATGCTTTCAAGATTCTCCCTGTCTCTGGCTTTCAGCAGTTTGACTATGATGTGCCTAGGTGTGGCTCTCTTTGAGTTTATCCTTCATGGAGTTTTTTGAGTTTCTTTGATGTGCAGGTTAATGTTTTTCATCAAATGTGGAAAGTTTTCAATCATTATTTCTTTAGATTTTCTTTCTACCCCTTTATCGCTCTCCTTCCTTTCGAGAACTCTAATATTGCTTATGTTGGTCCACAGGGATGGTGCCCACAGGTCTCTGAGGCTTGGTGGTTTTTTTCATTTTTTGGTTTGTTTGTGTATTTTTTCTTCATTGTTTTCTTTCTCAGACTGAATAACCTTAATTTACCTTAAATTTTATGATTCTTCTGCTAGCTCAAATCTGTTGTTGCGCCCCTCTAGTGAAGTTGTTATTCCAGTTATTGTACCTTTCAACTCTAAAATTTCTATTTAGTTTTAAAAAAATATTTTATATCATCTTATCAATATTCTGTATTTGGTGAGGCATTGTGCTTATACCTTCCTTTATTCTTCAGACATACTTTCCTTTAGTATTTTGAACATGCTTATAGTGGCTTATTTAAAGTCTGGTTAATAATTTTAACATCTGGGCTCCTCAGGGACAGTTTTTATTGACTGCTTTTTCTTTCTGTACGTGGGTCATACTTTCCTATTTCTTTGTGTGTGTCATAATTTTTCATTAAAAACTGGCCTTTTAAGATAATGTGGCAATTCTGGAAATCAGATTCTCCCCCTTCTGGAGGGTTTGTTACCATGTTATTTTTGTTATTGCTGCTGTTTGTGTAGTGATTTTTCTGGACCAATTCTCTGGTTTGTGTTCTTTGTCATGTATGATCACTGAAGTCTCTGCTCAGTTAGCTTAGTGGTCAGCTAGTGATTGGACAGAGATTTTAAGTGCATTGAACCAGTAAGTTTCCCAGCCTTTGCTGAGGTGCGCTCTGTATGTTGGGGCATGTCTTCAGTGTCCCAATAGTGTACGCCTCTGCTTTCGCCTTCCTGCTTGTGTAGAGCCTCAGGGTTTGCATGAGTTGAGAGATCAGGGCCTTCTCAGGTCTTTCCTGGGCACACACATACATTTCTATTCATGCACATGGCATTCTTGATTCCCAGAAATATTTGGGAGCCTTTCAAAGCCCCTATGGACATCCGTTACCCGGAGTTTCCTTCTAAGCCTTTTGGTCATTCTCCTTTTAGCCCTAATTGGTAATGCTGCCTTAGGCAACTGCAGTGTTCAACAGTTGTCCCTTATTGTTTTTGACAAATACCTTGGAGATGGGACAGTGTGCTTTGAGTCAGATCATATAAAGACAGTCCTTCAGAATAAAGCTTTTCAGCAAGCTGCCAGACAGGTCAAATGGTGACATTTCTCTGGGGGTGGCACTTTTGGGGAGCTATAAATCCATCTGGCCCCTTCAGTGGTCAGTTGCTAGGCTGCTGGCTTTTACAGCTACTGTAGTTGCAAGGCTGTTGGTTTTCAAGGCTACCATGGAGCTGAAGGAGGAGGATGGGATTAGTGTAAGTTAAAACAAAACAGAAGTTACACTTCTTACCAAGACTCAACTGTTTTTCTTGAATAAATGCTCCTCAGAATGTTTCAAGCCTTTAGTTAATTTCCAGAGTTCTGAAAAAGTTGATTTTGACACTTTTTGGCAGCATTCTTGTTGCATTTGTGGAGGAGCAGATTTTCGGAGGTCTTTACTCTGCAATTCCAAAAGTTAACTCTCTATCAGTTCTTCATTAAGGGAGGCATCCTTGTGCAGTGAGCGTCTGCCATGCACATGCTGCATGCTCTCCTATTCTGTCACATGTTCTTTCTTCTTGTCTGTGTATTTGATGTCTTGAAGTGGCCCCAAGGGAGTGTTAAGGAGCGCAGGTTACTGTAAACCACTGGTCGCAACTCTTACTTTTTTAGAAGTGGGTTGGATGGACCACAAGCAGAATGCATAGCAGACCCAGGATCATGTTGATCCGCTGGATCAGTCTCGTCTCGCCAGCAGAGTTCACCTTTTGCAGTCTGTCCCACTTTGTCCATTATCCGGTGATGAAACAGATTCATTGTTCCCTTCACTTAGGATTGGAAGACAAAGCACTAATAGCTAAAACGGCCCTTTCCTCTGGATACTGTTGGGATTTGAAATTCAGTCCAGACATAACATTAATTTCTCAATATCATATCTTACAGTCCTGGTTAACAGCTTGAGTTTTCTGTTAAATATTTTTAAGGTACACATTTAAAATCTGAGTTTTCACACATAATATAAATTTGAAATTCTCATACAAGCAGAAGTTTTGAGTAATGGATATTTATTTTATTATTGCTTTTATTTCAGAGGCCATCGGTCTCCAACTCTGTAAGATGGAAATACAAGTGCCTGTTGGTAAAAAGTAAAATGATTCTGTTCTGAAAAACTATGTATGATTGTCTATCTGTTAGCGTGTTATAGCATGTAGTTTTTGCCTTTTATGTATTTGTGTATTTTTTCTCTTATATGTTATATAATACTTTAACCGAGTAGTCTGAAATGTGATATTAGATGATCATACAACAATTTTGAAATCTTGAAAGATAGAACTGGAAACATTTGCTTGTTTTTTTTTCCACCTCGGAGTGCTTTGTTAATGAGACATTTTATACTGCCATAAACCCAGGGCAATAATAAAGGTGTTGATTGATTTTTGGATGACAAGGGGCTTCTCTAATTGCAGGATTTGACATTTGTGTCACTTCTGCTGTTTTAGGTGAGCAAGACGTGGAAGGTGATTGCAGAAGATGAAGTGCTCTGGTACAGGCTGTGCCAGCAGGAAGGGCACCTTCCTGAGAGCAGCATCTCTGATTATTCTTGCTGGAAGCTCATCTTCCAAGAGTGCCGAGCCAAGGAACACATGTTAAGAACCAACTGGAAGGTAGGCAGTGGCCAGTATTGTTACCTGTGGAAGACTAGCCTATAAGGCTGCAGGAATCCAAGCCTGGGATGAACCACCGGGTACTTCTAATGACAGCCTGAGGTTACTGCCAAAAGCAAAGCGAGGAGGTGGTAAAGCGTACCTTCAGCCGTTGGTGACTTGTCCATTTTGTTCGCCATTGGAGTCTCTGCTCCCATTCCCAACCACGCTATGTGGGAGCATCCTGTTGCTCTCCAGGAGAGGAAGCGGGGACAGAGATGCTGTAGGGTCTTTGGTATAGTGCTCAGTGCAGCCCCTTTCTCTGTCACCATCTCCCTGGGTGGCCCAGGAAAGCAAAAGCACCACCTGAATACAAAAGAGGAGCTATTTCCAGTAAATGTAAGAGGGAGATTATTAACCGTCTCTAAGTACTGTCTTCTCTTCCTTCACACAACCTATTGGCTCGCTTCCATCACATTTATCACTTCAGAATCTACATAAATATTAAATCACAGCTAAGAATTTTCACTGTGAAGTGTTTCTGTAGGAAATAACTGTCAAGAACAATGTTACATGAAGCTGCTTGAGGCATGATGAGACAGCAGTGTGGTGGTCGGGTTTCTTCCCACCTGAGTAGCTGGATATTCAGTTGTATGGAGAGGACAGAACCGTGCTCTTTCCTCTCCCTTAAAGGTCAATCCTAATAGACTTTGAGATTAACAAGCTTTTGCTCATTACTGATGGTGCATATTGCCTATGTGCATGTCTATCCCCATCACCTCATGACCTGATTAGTGACTGATACTCTTGGTCTGGGCAACCTCACACGGTTTCTAGCAAAGTTAATAAGAGCCATGGTTCTCTAATTCATGCTTTCTCAACCCCAGCACTGGTGACACTGGGACCAGATAATTCCTTGTGGGGAGGACTGTCCTGTGCACTGTGGGATGTTGACCAGCATCTGTGGTGTCTACCCAGTAGGTGCCAGTAATATTCTCTTTCTCCCCCCGCAGTGACAACCAAAAATATCTTCAGACATCTTCCAGTGTCCCCGGGGAGCAAAATTGCTCCTGGTTGAGAACCACCTTTCTAAGGAGAGTTAACATAGCTATCCTTTCTTAGGCGGTTAAGACACCGCCACTTAGTAAAAATCACACGGGCCCACACTTTGCATCCTTACCAGGTACTAAGCTCACGTGGAGAGACCTGGGGCCCTCTTGCCTGTGTGCTTGAGCAGGGTCTGTGAGGGACATCTGTGAGAGGCAGGCAGGAGGGGTTGACAAAGCTGCTTAGACAGGCGGGAGGGGAGGCAGAAAGCAGGGGTCTCACGCTGGTAGGAAGGGCTGTAATTTAAGGAAAGCTTGAGAGTTGGACGTTAACTAGGCCTTTCTGTCTGGGAGGAAGGGATTCTTTCGAGACTCGTGAGCATGAGAGCTGCAGATATTCAGTGTGCTGTGGCTCTGATTCAGAAATGTCAGACCCCGAGAGAGAGCAGCAGCTACGTTCTTTGTTTCCCCTTTGGTTTTAGAGAAAGCGAGGGAGGCAGGTACAGCTTCCTCATCCGGGCTGGAGGTGGCAGAAGTGAAGGGGTTTGAAGACCCATCTCATAGCACTTGGCACTTAATAACATACACAGTGCCATGCAGTTTAACTGAACATCTGTTTGTTGTTCTTCTCTCACAAGCACAACGCATTTGGTAAGTGCTCCATAAATGGTGGTCAAGTCAATGAACGAGAGTCAAACTGCAGGCAGACTGTGAGGGAGGCTTCTTTTTGGAGGGTCTGGGACCCATTTTTCTGACAGTGTTACCAGTGAGGACTACATTAGGGAAATAGTGAATGACAAATACTGCATTAGCTGTAACAATGGGATTCTTGTTGTGATTCTAGAATGAAAGAAAGCGCTATCGGATCATGAAAGCTGGTGTTAGAGCAAGTTGCTCTTTACCTTTGTGTGCCTTTGTTTTCTCATCTCTAAAATGGGGCCCAGAGTAGCACTACTCTTGGGGATGTGGGAGGATGACTGTCTAATGATATACTTGATGCTCCCAGAGTGTGGCCCATGGCCCGTGCTCAGTTAGTGTTGGCCAGAGAAGTTCACAGCCCTGTGCACGCAGATACCGTGGTGTGGTGCTATTCATGGTTGGCTTCAGGATGAGTCGGGCAGGCCATTTGGTTTAGTATCTCCTAGGTCAGTGTCTGGAAAACCTGAGAAGGGACCCCAGGGTTCTCAGGTATCTCTACATATAAAATGCATGAACTAATTGGACCTGCAATTCAGAGCCAACGTGGAAATGGTTGATAAGCTGGTTGTGGTGGCTGTTGTATTCCTTGTCCTGGTGTTTGCATTAAGTCTCTGCACTCTGGCCTTCTAGGGTTTCTCTGAGACCAGAACACCAGTGTGGGGTTGCAGCCCACGGGTGGGGGCAGGAGGGAGCCACATGGCAGAAACCAGTGAATGCATAAGCACACAGGTTTTGGTCTCAGGCCCTCTCCTTTTCTTTCAACACCTCGTCCCTTAAAAGAGCTTTGCTATTCTTGTGATTTGGGTTGTGGCCCTCACACAGGTGACTCCCAAGACCCTCCTTTCCATCCCCACATGTCCACTAGCTAGACAGCTCCACTTGGATGTGTCCAGTTTTGTCCCCGAGTCTTGGACTTGGTGTTCAAGTGAGATCGTCATGCAGATGACCTTACACAGTGCCTGGAATACAGCTGCTCTGAGGTTGTTTTAATGGAGTGGCTGTGGTCAGCCATCTCCTCACACTGCAAGGAGTAGTAAGAGTGGCTGCCATTCATGGAACACTTGCTGTGTGCTGACTGTGCTTGGCGCTTACACACACTGGCTCCACTCCTCGGTCCAGTCCACTGAAGCTGGAGTTATGGGTTACGTGATATTCTTAAATACCTTTATTCATGCTTGCTTTTGGCTTAACTATCCCACTCTTCCCAACATCTCACATGTAACTACTTGACATTCCTTCAGATTCCCTTTACTTCAGAGATAATTATTTTATGTGTCTATTTGGATCGGTAATAATTGCCATGGTACAAATAGTTCAAAAGTCAAAAAGGGGCATGGGGAGGAGGGTGTCAGGGGGGACAGAAGGGGCATCTGTAATACTTTCAACAAAAAAGATAATTTTTTTAAAAAAAGGGGAAAACTTCAAAAACATAAATAAATAGATTTTAAATTTTAAAAAGGAGGAGTAGACAGGGAAAGATACACCTTTTTCCTCCTCCTCCTCCCGACCACCCGGTTTCTTCCTCTGGGGCAGCCAGTGGCCGTGGCCGTGGGGTTTCCTCTAAGTGCTGCTTCCAGGAACCTCTGGCCTCTCAGTCAAGAATAACGTCTTTGCTTCCTTTTTTCTGTCCTGATTTTGTTCTCTTTGTGTATACTTTTTCATTTTATTCTGCCAGTTGTTTATAAGGGTTGTTAACAGGTAAAATATCCTTAAATACTTTCTCTCCTCTGAACTGAACTTTTTAATATACTTTATACAATTCCTTCAGGGACTTGCCACATTCAGCCTTCTGTGGATTGTAGTTATCTGTGCTCACATATTTCTTTCATTTCCCCTTGAGGACGGGGCAGCATCTCACACACCCTCTAGTGTCCTCTAGTTCAGTGCTTGGGGGGGGGGTGTGTGTGGTAAATGCTAATAGCTTAACATACTAGTCATCTTGGTCCTTTCTTTCTTCTTCTTCTTTTTTTTTTGATTAATCCTCACAGGAGGATATTTTTTTCATTGATTTTTTTTTTTTTTTTTTAGAGGGAGTAGAAGTAGAGGGGCAGGGGTGGGGTGGGGAAACAGAGAAACATCTGTTGATTGCCTCCTGCATGTGCCCCGACTGGGGCCGGGGATTGAACCTGCAACCCTTCTGTGCCCAGGCCGATGCTTTGACCACTGAGCCATACTGGCCAGGGCTCATCTTGGTCCTTTTGAATGTCCATTTAACTTTGAGCACTGTACACGCTCTAAAAAGTCACTGGGGAGTGTAGGTGAAAGCAACATGCTTTGTCTCTGACTATCCCCAGAATAACATATACTGCTCCACCCCACCCCCTTCCTCATGCAGAATCGCAAGGGAGCTGTGAGTGAACTGGAACACATTCCCGATGCAGTTTTGTGTGATGTGCACTCTCATGACGGCGTTGTCATTGCTGGGTAAGCTAGAACGGTTTCTCACTCAGTGCTCTTTATCTTGAGGACCTTCTGTTTTCATGTACCACCTTCTGAGTCCCAGTCATGTCTTCCCCTGAGAGCATGTTCTTTCGTGTAGATGGCCCACGTTGGAGAGGGTTCCGCTCCCCGGGAATGGAGAGCTCTGAAGTTAGTGGTGCGAAGCGCACGGTGCCGAGCAGATCCGTCCTCCATTCGTCTAATATGTCTGTCCTCGCTTTAAATCATCCTGTGGCGTGCAATGTTAGATTTTCATTAAGGCAAACCGTTTGTATTTTATGAAGACATAAAAAAGTCAAGCAAGAATAATAAGCATTGGCACAAAGAGGTCCCGTTCTTGTTCTCTTGTTTTGAAGCTTTTATTATTGAGGAAGGACTGTGGCCACACACAGTCTTCCTTCCCCACCCCACAGTACATATTTGCTTTTTATTTGTCTCTGTGGCCAATAAAATTTAATTTTAGCTTCTGTAGATTCCTTTGGCTTCTGTTCTAAAAACCACTTTCATGAATTCTTCATCTTTTACTGCAGAGATGTGTTTATGTATTTCTTTAATACAGAATAAGAAGATCAATTTTCATTTTTGGATAAAGATGTCTTGAACTAGATTCTCAAACTGTATACTTAGTGCTGTAGAGACCAGGACACTTAAACTCCTCAGTCTGGATTAGCTTTGGAGTGAGCCGCCCAAGATAGGCTCCTGCCTCAAGGAAACAGAAACAAACCTGGGCCTTGACAACTTAGTAGGAGGCAAGTTTTTCTTTCAAGAAAAATCTTTCCTTAAGAAGTGTTCCTTGAAGAGTACCACTTGAATTGAAATTATAGTCAGATTATTTTACTTGTTTGGGCATGCAGTGCCTATGAAAAAGTCTTTTTGCTTTAAACAAGATATGTCCAGGGGAACATTTTTTTTTTTCAATTACAGTTTACATTCAATATGATTTTGTATTAGTTTCAGGTGTACAGCTTAGGAACACTTTTGCTTTTGTTTTGTTGGCCACAATTTAGAGGCCAATACCCTTCCTTGGAGAACTATAGAACTATTATTTTAGAAAGATTAATGGACCAGAAATCTGGATTTCTGTCCATCCAAGTGTGACTTTAGGCTTCTGCCCCTTACTGCTCGAGTGGGGACCAAAGAGCTCATGATACAGAAGGTCCTTTCTGCCCACCAAGTCTAGGTCCCGTGTGAACTGAGAAAGGGACTTACCGTGTATCAGACAAGCTGGGAGGATCTCCTAGTGTCAAAAGACCTTTAAGGACAGAATATGGAGACTGAACTGCGAGAGTCATAAAAGACACTAGAAATAAAGGAGGCTTGAATCTCAGAAACCAATGATGAATTTCTTATCTGGACACGGACCTCACAAAAGGCTGACTGGTGCCTTTCCTTTTCTCCTGCCTCTCTGTCCCCCGAGGCCCCTCGACCCTGCAGATTCTACCAGCACACAGCAAAGCAATCGCTGAGTTTTGTGGATCGATAAGATGAAACTCGATCTGTGGGTCAGAGAGGCTCCTCCTGGCTCCTCTTTCTAAGAGAACCTTATGTTTATGGCCTAGCATCAGATACTTCATATCTTGCTTGTGTGTAGAGAGCATCTTGTGTTTATCATTAAATTTTTATTGGGTGGTTACGATGCTTGTTTTCTGGGTCAGATCTTGAATCCCTTTTCATTTGAGACAGCGGTGTTTGTGGTTACCTCATTCCCAATCAATGTTGTATTCACCAGGCTTTCTACAGTTATGTATCTCCAAGGAGCTTCTTAAAGAGACAGTGGCCACCTCATCATTTCTTTCTCTTCTGCTTATCTTGCGCTTTTTTTTTCCCTCCCATTCTTTCCCCTCTCTCTCTTTTTTTACACAAGTGGAATTTAGTTTGTATAGCTAGAGCTGAACTATGTAACATTTTTGCATTTCAACCTATTACATATATTTCATATAATTGATAGAGAGCAAAGAATCTTGGAAAATCTCTGGCTTCTTCCCATCTTTTTGATCCTGTTTGTAAATTTTCCTGATGTGGAGTCTTACTGTTTAGGCCTAGACTAACTTTTATCAAGTTAGGCTTATAATTGACCCAATCTTGGTTCTTCTTTATTCTCCTTTTCACAAAGACACCCAGAGTAACCTTCAAATGCTCATTCACTCATAAACTCACCTGAGACACTCGAGTACCTATCCGGTGAACAGGACCTGGCCCGCTTACTCCAGGCTTATTTTTCTTCTTTTTTATCCTCACCCTAGGACATTTTTGCATTTATCTTCAGAGAGAGTGGGAAAGAGAGAGGGAGGAAGAGAGAAACATCGATGTGAGAGAGACACATTGAGTGGCTGCCACCTACACAACCCCATGGGGCTGGGGACAAACTGCAACCGAGGTACATGCCCTTAGTGGGAACCGAACCCGGGTCTCTCTGGTCTGTGGGCCAAACCGCTGAGCCAAACCGGCCAGGGCTCCAGGCTTGTTTTACCAGCAGAGGAAACACACTTAATACTTAAAGCTTTGATCTTTCACATTTTGGTGCATCAGTTTTTGCTTCCCTTGCCATCTCATGGATGATACTTTCCCATTACCTTTTCCTGATGTTCTAGGTCCTTTGAAATTTGTTTCCAACCTATCTTTCCTCATTACTCTCATCAGTGTACCTTTGAAATTTTCCACAGTGTCCTGATTAGTTACCTTTGACCACATCTATTTTTTTTAAATATGTTTTTATTGAATTTAGAGAGGGAGGAAGAGAGAGGGAGAGAAACATCAAAGAGAGAGAGAAATACCAATTGGCTGCCTCCTGCATACCCCCTACCAGGGATTGAGCCTGCAATCCGGACATGTGCCCTGACCTGGAATTGAATCTGTGACATCTTAGTGCATGGGATAACACTCAACCAACTGAGCCACACTGGCCAGGGCTGACCACATCTTTTTAAAAATTGAAATGTAATTTACATACAATAAAATTCACCCTTTAAAATTGTATGTCAGTAATTTTTGGTATATTTACAAGGTTGTGTAACGATCGCCATTATCTATGATGAACATTTTCATCACCCTCATAAGAAACCCAGTCCCCATTCTTTAAAGCCCGACTTGAGTCTTTTTCCCCCCACAGGTGTCTATAGCACTCTAGCCTATTAACCCTGCCTTACCTCCACACCAATATCTACCCTCATAACTCCTGGGGAAGTGATTAGCTGTAGCTCATAGGCCAGCTAATCGTGTGACTTCCCAGTTTCCTTGAAACACTTTTGTTTTATATTGTTATTTTACCTTTACAGCCATGTATTTTCTTATCAGCTTAGAAGCATGTTTTAAAACTGGAGGTAGCATGTAATATTTCATTTAATGACTATAGTGCTTTTATACATCATTTTGTCTGAAGTATGCATTAAAATTTAATATGCAGACTGTCCCCCCCCTATATTCTACATTATGTGGGAAACTGGAGAAATTCCTAATTTCTCTTGTCTGTTCTCTGATTTCTTAGTTTTTTCAACTTAGAATTATACAGTTTTAAACCTGGAAAGCACTTTAGTGATTGTCTGTTACCAAACACTCATTTTGTGTGAGACAGATGCGGCCCAGAGAGGTCTGCTAGCCAGGGTTGGCACGCGTGCTCTGTGCTGTTCCTCTGCAGCGTCCCCGTGCCGTGTCCGGCATCTGGGATGCCTTCCCCAGCCCCTGTTTGCCACTCGGAGTGCTTGTCTGTTATAGTGTCATTTTGGTTTTTCTTTGGTGCCATGCATCTTTCTCTTCTGTTACAAATAAAAGTAGCAATAAAACCATGTTGTTTTTGCAAAACTGTTAGAAAGTGGGGAAGAGAGCCCCTTAAATCTTTGTATGCTAACACAAACCCTGTTATGGTTTTTAGTGTGTATAGTTTATTTTTCAGGAGGTTTTGTTTTTTAAATATTTTTTTAGAGAGAGAGGAAGGGAGAGAAAGATAGAAACATCAATGTGAGAAACATTGATTGGCTACCTCCTGCACACCCCCCACTGGGGACCAAGCCCGAAACCTGGGCATGTGCCCTGACCACTGAGAACACTGGCCAAGCTCAGTAGGTTTTTTTAAATGCAGATCTTTACATAATATAATCATAGCCTACATCCCTCACTAAACTGATGAAATTGTTTTCATGTTATTACATACTTTTCATTACATTCTTTTTTAAAATCCTCACGTGAGAATATTTTTCCACTGATTTTCAGGTAGAGTGGGAGGGAGGGAGGAAGGGACAGAGAGAGAAACATTGATGTGAGAGAGACACATCAGTTGATTGCCTCCCGCCTGACCCCAACCAGGGCCAGTGATTGAACTGCAACCGAGGTACGTGCCCTTGACTGGAATTGAACTTGCGACTCTTTGGTCCATGGGCCGACGCTCCAGCCGCTGAGCCAGACTGGCCAGGGCTTCATTACATTCTTGATTTGTTGCAAAAGCTTTTAGGATATAACTATATCCTAATTTTTTTACTCATGTCCCTGGTATTGGACATTAAAGTCATTTCTTGTGTTTTATTATTATTCAATGTAAATATTTTCTGTATAGAGCTTTACAGATTCCCCCCCTTTTTAGTACTATAAATCTTATTGAAAAACTATAAAACACATGCTTATTATAGAAACTTTGAATTCCATAAAAGTGTGTTGACTAAAGAGTTCAAGTTCTTCATTGTCCTTCCCTCGTCTGGTTGTTTTCCTAGGCTAGAGTCCCATAAGTGGAATTGGTAGATTTAGAAGAATGAATTTTTAGATATCCCAGGTTAAATTATTTTAGATTGCCTTATAACTCTCAACTTCTTTCCGATTTAACTTTTGGTTGGAATTCTCTAAACCATCGCTCAAGCCGGCTCTCCTGAATAAACCTGCCTTCCACCAATACCTTAAATCATCGAGTACACGCCCACTTTTACTGTCCGCATGCTGCAGTCAGGCTTCCACCCCAGCCTTCTGCGGAGCCACTTTCACAGGGCATAGGTGGTCGCAAA